GAAGGGAAGGAGTCCTGCCAGTGCAAAAACCGACATCACAATGGCTGACTGTCATCCCGGCTGCACCATGGGTCAGAATGGGCCACCAACTGGCACGCCACGGGACGCAAACTACGGCTGCACGGGCATCCCGGTTGCCGGGTCCCAGGATCTGGGATCCCTGCTCCTGCCACATGGACAGACCCCTAAATTGCCAACTCATTTGCCGAGTTTCGGGAACGGAGTTTCCATGGCCATGGCAACCACCTTTGGCACAATTAAAATGGAATACCTTGGCTCAGGCGGATTTCTTGTAGGAAGAGATTTCATAAATTAAGTTCAGCGATCTGGGAGTTGGTTATGTTTGCCTTTAGAGAATTTATTCTAATGATGTATATTAACATTTTTCATTTATCCCTTTACTCTAAAGTTCAAAAGCTCAATCTTTCATAACGCGAACCTTAATCAAGTATAAAATTCTAGTTATACAGACTATGAGTTTGAGAGCTAATATATGAATCCTTATTAAAAATTGGTATTTAATTTGTAGGTAATTTAATTAGTAGGACAAAGGATGAAAATAAATATTGTATATACAATAGCAATTATATTTTTCCAGCATGAAATTCTTAAATGGTCTGATTCCTAAAATCTTGAATAATGAGTAAACAATAAATAATTTCATTATTAACACGTTATAGAAAAAATAGATTTTTATCGATAAATAAATTTTATAAATGAATATTAAATGGTATTATAAGCCGTTTTAAACATCCCTTGCACGCATTTATTAAAGTACCACTAACAAAGATTAATCCAATCAAATGCACATTGCATATTTAACTGATTTTAAGAAGGATGACACCCAGTGCTTGATAAAAACCGATTCCCCACGCAATTATAAATATTATCTTAAGTAAAGAACGCACTTTCCCGGCGCAAATTTGCTTTTGGTGACCCCGAGCCCACAGTGCCCGTGTCCACATCCCGAAATCAGATGCGACAGCGACGGGCGAAGGCTGAAATGCCGTTGAAATGAAGAGCGGTCTGGAGTGAAAAGAAATGTCGCCGGATGTCGTCAGCGCTGGTCCACAGGAAAATGGGAAAGCCGCAGATGGCAGCTGGCAGGGGGAAAAAGGAAAGCGACCCAAAGTTTGTTTGACGAACTTCATGGACTTGTTCAACACGTGTAGTTGGCACAACAACACCGAGTACTTTAAACTCTGCTCGTTAATTAGGACTCGGAAATCAAATTACTGCCTGAGATTTCACAGCTTTGGCTAATTTAATTCCTGGAAAATCCAGCAAATGGCCGTCGGCACTTCCAGAAGCCCCTTTTGAAATGCTCCACTATTAAAACTTTGGAACATGCATCAAATCTTTGCATCTAAATGGCGGAACTTGCGAGTCAAGTGGATTTATCTTGGGGCAAATAAAGTTGCCATCGCCCGAGGATGTTAATTCGGGGAAGGGAGCGCATACTGCCTGTCAGTTAACCGTAACTATGACTTGGTATTAAGCTCCTCCCGGGAACTTGGGCATAATTTCTAGTACATTAAACCCTGGCTGAGTTCCCCATTAACATTCATGCGTGCTCGAGGTCGGAAATGTTTAGTAGACTTAACCGCAGCCCGCTCACCATGTCGTATGCGTAATGTCCCGCTGACCTTGTTCCCATCAAAATAACAATGAATTACAAGACCCCAATGACTTTTTCGGGTCCAGGTGAGCGTCCCCCGCTTTCGGCACTTAAATTTTTTCCGTCATCACTCAATTCATCATCTGGCAAAGGGAGGACGAAAATAAAATGTTTTCCCATTTTATTCCTCTGCTTTTTTTCCGGTTCAGTCTCGTGGAAATGTCAATTTAAGCTCGGGTTTGTCTTAATTATGTGAGCAGCTTTTTTTGGGCCTCGTCCCGTTGGAGTAGAAGGGAATTTATTTATTTAAGCAATGACAACAGCAAGGAAATGGCTTTTTGCATCGAATTACAATGATGTTTTGGTGAATTATCGCCGGAATTGATTGATGATGGTGTCACAGAAAAATATACAACCTGTCACCTGGTGAATCAGGAAAATCATTTACCAAAAGACATCATGACAGCGGCGGAAAGTGGGCGAAAACCACTCACGGGACTTTGGATCAGCTCTAATTTATGGGGTTAGTAGGTACATAATGTTTAAAGAACTGCTGCTTTTCAAGACCTTTCTTTTTAAGGAAATAAAATAAAAACAAATAGATCAATCGAAATGTTTGTAGTTTTTCCTAAAGTTAAATACATTCCGTTTCTGCTCCTGCCATTCATCATCCATCATTTAAATCCATCGATACAAAAAAGTCAAAAACAAATTCTCGGCGTAACAAATGGCTTGCCAAGGGTTTTGCAGTGATGATACGAAAACATTTAAATTAAATGAAAACAATGTTTTTCCGTCCGATTGCAGGTCCCTGGGAAAAGCTCCACAGATAAGCAAACAGCCAGAACAAACAGCAAAATGGGGACTAAGACAAAGCAAACAGGAAAAGCGAGCGGGGGGAAATCTGAGGAAAATGGGCGAAACAACCGCAGAAACAATTTATTATTTGTGATTTCCCCTCCCGAAAATCGAAGGCGAAGTGCCAATATGCAGGTTTGCCTCTACCAACTTGAATAAATAATGGAATCGGTAAGCAAGCGGTCCAAGATGCTAAAAGTTAAGAGCTCCGTCTGTCCGAACGGCCACAATATTGACTGGATCCGGGCCAGCAAACAGATCTGAATAGACCGCCTGTCAGGCTGCCAAGATATTTGACCAAGAAAGGCACTGGGCTCACACAAATGGGTGCTTCATTCGTCATCTCGGAGGCCAAAGGGTTGCCCGGAATTTAAGCTGCGAGATCTGCCACTTCTTGAGCAATTTCTCAATCACATCTAACCACTGGCCAGCGGCCAAAGCCCCAGTTGCACCCGAAATCCATGGCCAATGCCCCATTAGACCAGCGACCTTTTTCTGGCCCCTGAACCTGATGAAATATGAAAAATTTCGGGGTGGCAGTGGTCGTTGGTAGGAAGAGAAAATCATACAGCAACACCAAGAGCTCAAGCCACTTGGCCCCTGGGAGTTTATGGAAGAGCTTAGCAAACAAAATTATATTCAATTTCCTTTAATGGCCACCATAAAATAGCAGTCAGCAAAAGTAAAGCCGGCCAAAAGCCGCCACCAGAAAAAAATAGAAGTAGGCGTTGCGCCGCGAACTTCCCAAGGCGGAAGCAGAAATCAGGACGCGAGCAGTTATCCTCCATCCTTGGCGCTTTTTGTTAGGTAAGCAACTTGTTTGAAGTACTCTCAGTACTTCACAATGGATTATGTTCAGATGTATGTTTATCGCCAGATATGAATATTCCATTTGGCCGGGCCATCAGAAGGCAGCAGCTGCCGTCGCTTGGTCCGCGTGAAAAGCGATTAAGCATACGCCATGGTGTCCGCTCCATTTGCCACAATTTTCCACGAGTCTCCTGTTTGCCTCTCAGCCGTGTCAACCAAATTGTTTCGCCTACTAAAATATAAACATTAAATATTTCATGGGGATAGACCTCAGGATAGACTTATAGGTGTATTCTAAATTACTTTGAAGACTATTTTAATACTTAGAAAAACACCATAGCTTATCAAACAAAGGGAACCCCTTGTTGCATACTTTAAAAACCGTAAGTGTCTGAGAAAAATAGTCTTTGAATTAGTCGACCAACCATTCAGTTAGATATTTATGTTACTTTGAAGATATTTACTATATACAGTCCCGAAACTTTCTTTAATTTAATTTCTCATTAATGAACTATAAACTAGACTTTAGCTTTATATAACAGAAATCAAAAAACTCTAGCTTATCAAACCACTTTAAATCTTCATGGCACATTTTAAATACTGTACATGTTTAAGAAAGTTAGCCTTTGAGTAAGTAGATCAATCCATCAGTTAAATCTTTAAGTTCTGCTACCAAAAGAGTTCACCTTTTTCTTCTTTATTGATGAAAAAATCAGCTTAAAAGCAAACAAATCACACGTACGAAGTAAACCTTTTTTGAAGCTTATTGATTTAAAGTCCTTAGCTGCAAAGGCTAAGAAATCCCCAACTTAATCAAGTTGAAAGCAATCACTTACCACAAAAGCGATTTTACTTAAAAAGCAAGGTAGAAATTATTAAAATTTAATAAATGGGTAAGGCAAAAAAGAAGGTTTTATTATTATCAGAGGTGGCTTAAACATGTAATTCAAGATGCTTTATAGACTTTTTAGAATAAACTTTAAAGGATACTTGGCTAAAGTCTTTTATATTGCCAACTACTGACAGAAGTGTGGGTCTTGAAGACGACAGAGCTTTAACTATGTCATCGCCCAAACCCCGGGCTCCTAAGCCTTGTGTAGAAGACAACATAATCCAATAGATAGAGTCAACAAAGGGAATGTTTACTATTAGGTTTATCGCCAGCTAAGCCAGGCGCAGAATGGGAATGGGAGGAATTTAATGCGAGCCCTTCGCATTTTTATGGTCCATTTCCAGCTGCAAGCCAGGCCTGAAGTCCGGAACCGTTAATACATCAAACTCGAGCGTCCTGACAGCCAACTTGCCGCATTCTTATCTGTCCCTTTTGCGGTTCCCGGATAGCGACACTTATCGCAGGAATCCCCTTTCGGAATTTATATATCTATCTGCCCCAGAGCCTTAGACAATTCGATTGACATGAAATGAATTGTGAAATTAAACAGACTGCACAATGACAGCCGCAGAAAGGATTCCAGAATGGGGCCACAAATTGCTAAGTGATTTCGCAGAAGAGCCGAAAGGAGAGGAGGCAGCCTGCCAGTTGCCTGGCAATAAAGATGGTCCTTAAAAAGTCAACAGCAATGGGCATTAAATCGTATGAGAACGGTTCTCGTCCTTGGCTTTCTGTTATTTTAGCAGACTCTTCGGGGATCAGCGCCTGTTTGTTGACACCATAAATGTGGAGAACCCCTGGATGCCACATCCCACAACTTACCCCTCAGAATTCAAGAGCCCGCACAATACTAATGCCATTGAGCAATTAGACTTTTCCGATTGCCTGGAAAACTATTCGCGCGCGGGCTTTAATCAAAAAGCATTTGAATTCGAATTTGAAGCGCACACAAATCGCACTGACACACACTCACTGCACCAGCAAATATCAATCCACAATTGCGCCGCCCGGGAGCATGCAACAATTTCTATTTTCTATTTTCCTATAGAGAACTATTTTTCTATTTTTCCATTTCGCCCTTCCTTTGTGCCGTACCACGCGGCGTATGAGCAATCAATTTGCATCGAGTTCGGCACGCACTGCTTCAATTATTCAAAAGACCGTTACACCAGTTCAGGATTGAAATCGGAGTATTGGGATATCGGGATGTACTTTATGAGGAGGGTTCCCAGTTGCGGAGCCAAGCGTCTGGTTAGCCAGCCGACGTCGCACTGAGGCTCCAGTTGGGCCAGCACCGCGCTTTTGGAGGAACCCACTGGCGACCCAATGGGTTCCACTCGAATCGGCGCCTGCGCCTCGCTTTCTTTGGATGTGTGGATGTCATTTGAAAAACATTGTAGCCGTTTTTCAATGGCCCCGAAAAGCAGGCAGCTTTGCGTGGCACAGTCGCTGCAATCGGAGACTTCAATTATGCATTACGTCCCTTTCAAGTGATCCGGGTGGGAGGTCGCCTCGAGACGAGTCCTGCCGTCCGTCTGTCCTTTCAATCCTGCCGAATCGCAGGCGTCTTAAGCCGCTGCCTGTCGAGAACTCTCGTTGGGCTAAAGGTGGCCACAGCAAAAACTAAACATGTCCCATACCAGAGGTTGAGGAAAGTACAAAACGTTTTGTGCAAAAGTACGTGGCAGCATATTTTATAAAACTTCAACAGCCCAGAATAACTGGAATTTAAGTTTCAATCGTTTGTCGGTTTTTATTGCTAAAAAATTTAATAGTGTAAGTAATTGTTAGTAATAGAATAATAAAACAAGGGAGAACGCTATAGTCGAGTACCTCGACTATCAGATACCCGTTACTCAGCTATATGGAGATATGCAAGCAGCAAAGCGAGATTAAAATGCGCCACCTACCGGCGGTATACAGATTTAAGCGTTATGGGCGTTAGAGTGGGCGTGGCAAATTTTTTTTTGGATCAATCGATAGGTATTGACGAGACCAATACATTTCAGTTAAAATTTTTTATCTAGCATGAAAATTGTGGGCGTCACAGGGTTTTGCGGTTTGTGGGCGTTAAAGTGGGCGTGGCAAACTTTTTTTTGGGTCAATCGATAGGTATTGATGAGAACATTACATTTCAGTTAAAATTTTTTATCTAGCATCAAAACTGTAGGAGCCACAGTTTTGGGCGGTTTGTGGGCGTTAGAGTGGGCGTGGCACTGTGCCGAAACAAACTTGCGCTGCGTAAGAAGCTCAGGAATCTGCACGCCAAATCTCAATAGCCTAGCTCCCATAGTTTCCGAGATCTCAGCGTTCATCCGGACAGACGGACAGACGGACAGACGGACATGGCTAGATCGACTCGGCTAGTGATCCTGATCAAGAATATATATACTTTATGGGGTCGGAAACGCTTCCTTCTGCCTGTTACATACTTTCCGACGAATCTAGTATACCCTTTTACTCTACGAGTAACGGGTATAAAAATGGGTACTATATATAAGTTTTTCAAGTTTTTTTTTAAGCCTTATTTGGTGTTCCTTTACCTTATACGTATATTATGGGGAAGTAAAAATATTCCTCAAAAATTGACTACATCTCTAGAGCCTATTGAAATATTATTTTAATGTTTATAACATTATTATAGTTATAGGACATAAGATATTAAAACTACTGTTAACAAGATGTCGAGAATATACGTACTACAAGAAATCAAAATTTTGCAAATGCGACACCGCGGGTAAAATATGAAAAGGGATGGGAATCAATAGTTTGGTTCACCACCTGTCAAAACAATCAACCCTTTCAATTGGTACTAAAGAACACTTCAGAAACACCGATGGCCTGCGAAACCGCACTCCTTCCTCTCAATTATTCCATTTCATTTCGCTGGCAATCCTCGGCGCAGTCCCTAACATTAATCTAATACCTATATTTGCAGATGCAAAAGCAATCCCAAGGGTCTACCTTTGCCTTACCTCCGTTCCAATAAAATGCATAAAATGCGTGCACAGTTGGCGACACAGTCTGTCTAAATGCAATTTCAACTACGTCCTTTAACCCAATCTCCCTTTCGAACCACTTTAGAGTGTATATATATGTATAACATTACTGCTGCCGGTGGAAATGGGCGACAGAAATAATTGAATTTGGCCGAGACGAGTTAAGAGGCGATTGCCAGCAATTGCAACGCTCGATTTATTCTGTAACATTGTGAACTAGCCGACTTGGTGGAGGATTTACATGGCTTCCGGGACTCCTTGGTCGGTGTTTTCCACCATAAATCCTCGGTTAGTCGACTGTCATGCTCTGAAAGTCAGCCGGAGGACAAAGAATCACATTTCAGGGGCTGCTAATTATGAACCTCGTTAGGTGACCCTGCTGGTATCACTTTTTTTAAGCCCGAAAGCCCTTGGCCAAAACCCAAAACCCATTGACTAAATCAACATGGGGCTAACAAGCATAATTAATGAGCTCCGGCATAAATCACCGGCAGGCCAATCAAAGTTGTCTCAATGCACATTCATCAGGGATTTGGCAGAAATATATCGCATCATGCAGTTGCCAGGCCCATCTTCACCTGACCACCTAACCATCTGACAATTGAGCAGATTCGAAGGATCCCTGCCTGGGCTGCAATTAATAATCCCCTGAAACCCATCAAATGCCCAAATTCGGTAGGCCCCTTCCGATTCCGTAGTCCAATTATTCGGCCGAGGCTGTTGGGGCCACTTTCCGCTGCACCTTGGCTTTCATGGCACGTCTGTTGCAACATTGCCACATTTTTTCAGGCCCCTCCTTCGGAGTGACGTACGACTCTATTTGCGTCTTCTGCGACACGCGCCACTGGCTCAGATCGAGCACCGAGCCAATTGTCCTGGGCCCGGATGGTTCCCCTTCCCTTTTAGCCCTCTTTACATGTCCGTTCAGCTGACAATTACAACGCATTCGGTGCTGTAACTGTCGCCCTCCCTTGTTGCGCTTTTTTTGCTTACCAGTTCTAAGGGTATGCTCGAGCTCTATTAAAAATAAGTAACACTAGAATTTTGAAGAAAATGGTTAAAGTACTTTAAACATAACTAGCTTTCAATTTATTTATATTTATAAAAAGTTGTGTACGAAAGAATATGGGTACTGTACTATGAAATCTAACTAAAGATAGGATTTTTGAAAGATAATTCCGACTGGTATGACAATGTCTATAAGTATTTTTGATATCGTAAGACGATATATATTATGGCCTTTCCACGTAGCTTAATTTAAGTTTGCCTGTAAATTTTACATTATAGTCGAACGTTTTATAATAATAATAATATTATGGCCTTTATGTTTTGACAAACTAAATTAGGCTCTGCCCGTTCTCAGCTGCCACACGAACAGTGTACATCACTGAACTGTAAGCCGACCGCTGTTGTAGACTCTTGTGACCCAAGAAAGTTGTTAGTTTTGGCAAAGAACTTGTTACAGTCTTAAAGGTTTTTAAAATAGAGCAGACTAGTAATCTAGGATATCAGCTAATCTGTATATTTTTCCAAATTACTGAGTATTCCTTAGTCGAAGTCCTTGTCCACAGCTTCTATTCCGGTTTTAGTTGTCGTTCGTCGAGGTGGTTTATTTAGCATGCAGCTGGCAAGACGCGCGTCAACGTCCATTGAGTTCCCCATGGATCTAATGGCTCCACGGCGATAAAATGCAAGAGTGTTGGTGTGCGCACGGCTGTCAGGGTGTGCGTGTGGGCACGTGAGTGTGTGTGGGGCAGGAAAAGGGACTTCCCCGGCAGCAACAATCAGTGGCTGTCGCTCGAAACTTCTCCTCTCGCGAATTTTAGTTGCTCTGCCGATAATATCCCTCGCCTAATTGCCCACACACGCGCGCATTTAACTTTTCAGATAAAATTAACGCCGTCGGGCAGTGTTTTGCATGGAATGGCGGTATGTTAAATATGTTTATGAGTGGGATTGGTTACGGTATTTGGAAAGGAGATATTTATCAGCAAGAGTAGTTATGAAGAACTTAAAGGCCACTCAAAAGTTCATTAAGCTGTTGAAAGAAAAGAGGGTACTTTAAAAAATAAATACATTTTTAACCAAACATTTTCAAATGAAATAACTCTCAAAGTTGTAAAACGTTCCATAAAAAAGGTGTACTAAATTTAAATCGAAATTATTTTAAGCGAATATCTTAATTTTATGCCACCCACAAAACACAAAAAAAGTTAATAGAGAAGAGAGGTAAAAAAGTTTCGCAAAACATGACCGGAACCCCGCTGCACGCCATTTTGCTTGGGTCAACACGAGCTTGGAGCATGTTAAGCCATGATTAATACGTGTTGATAAACAGTTATTGTAATTAATCGCGCCGGTGGTATCGCTTAAGTTTAAATCAACCCGCTTGGACTAACCTAATTGGCGCGACTTTTCCGTGGCTGGCATAAATTTGAATTTGGCGCCTAGCGCCCACTCGCACTTACTCGAAATGGAAGTGAAAATGAAAATGCATTTATCATTCGCTTTTCCAGTCAGCATGGGGGTTTATCTGAAATTAAAAATCGCTTCTACCTGAATTTATGTCAGCACTTTGCTGCCAATACTTTGCACACATTCCGTTCGTCCTTTGGTCCTTTGAGGTAGTGCGTCCTATTGACGTTGCAATGCGCCAGGACCACTTGTTAGCCACAACAAACTTTTCCCATAATTAAAAGCTAACACAACTTTGGCTTGTGCTCGGCGAAAAGTTCACCGACATATCGGAGGACAAAAATGGCAGCCATTCTATTAGCCAATTTCAGCATGTTTCGGTCAATTTGTATGGATCCCAGCCATCCGACTCTATAGAACGGTCCACCTTTGTGCGAAAGTTTCACCTGGTCACGATGCATATGCAGAAAAGGTCCTCTAATAAGACAAATAGAAGGGAAAACCAAAGGGAGAGCGACGATGAAAACATCGGTTAATTTTGCTCGAACTGTAAACAAATTTATTTAATTGAGAGAAATAAGTTATACAAACATAAAATATTTTGTGTAATAAGGGGAGAATTTAAACTTATTAACCAAATAAGATTAGAAAGACAAATAAGTGGAATGGTATTGTCAAAAAGTTAGCAGTAGTTATTCTATAAATGTGTCTTATATCCTATTGGATTAGGACAATCAAATTCATGTGTGCTAAATTTTCGAATTTTTAAGCAAATGTGGGAAGTTTTAAAATGTTGTAAAGCAGAATACCAGCTACCAAGGAAAAATAGTAATAATAATATAAAATAAATATA